TCTGGAAAATTGCCGAAGAAACTGTTGTGATGTTGAACACAGCTTACAAAGAGAGTGCTATGGGACAAACTCACGTGTATGAGTGCTTTTCCCATATCAATAAAGGTGAAATGTTGATTGATGACAAACCTCATTCTGGACGTCTACCAACATCCTGAATGGATGAAAACGTCGACTTGTAGTGCATTTGGAGTTGTTCCACCACGTCAGACTGTTCATCAAGATTTCTATTTAGAGGTTCTGAAAAGATTGAGTAACAGTGCACAACCAAAAATGCCTGGTCTGTGGCAGATGGGAAGGATTTTGCTACCACGACAATGCATCTGCTCACACAGCCATCTCAATGTGCCAGTTTGGGGTAAAAAAAACAGCATACCACTCTAGCCCCAGGGACCTTACTCACCTGGCTTCTCTTTGTGCGACTTCTTTCTGTGTTCAGAAATGCACAGGAACATTAAAGGACCACCATTTGAAGACATAGAAGAGGTGAAGAGAAAAATGAGGGAGGGGCTATCAGTCACCCAAACAGATGAGTTTGAAAAATGTTTCCAAGAATGGCAGGTTTGACACGTGTATTAAGTGTAATGGAGAGTACTTTGAGGGTAGTGAGGTTGTTTGGTAATAAAAAATTTAAATACATAATTTTGAAAAAACAATTCCGGATTGTTGGGTTTTGTTTTGTTTTTTGTAACCCCTCATATTCCCTCACATCCCTGGGTTCTGAGATGGTGGCAACGTCTCACAAACTCTCTCAAATCTTTGAGGAAATGTCTCATGTGATGGTGGGTGCTGCTCAGTCCAAAATCCAAGGGTCAGGGGGAAGCAAGTCAAATGTAGGTGCAGAGTGAGAAAGCAAAAGTCCCCAAAAGCCACAACAGGTCTTAATGCATCTGTGAAAGCTCAGGCAGGAAAACTGTGGTCTAGTGAAGATTTCCAGGTGAGGCAATGGATGTGTGGAATTGTATATCAGCAGCATTATCTATCCAAAGAAAGCAAAGAGTGGGACCTGGCTCACACCCTTTACTAAGGTCAAATCTTAAACCCATCCTATTCCTGTTCCTTAGTAGAGAATGTCTACAAAATGAAACTAGAGCCACAGGTGTATAAAGTCCAGAATTATATCCCAGAAGGAATTATGAATAGAAAGGTCATAGTAATTGATTATAACTCAGAATCCAGTTGTGACTCCAATGTCAATTCATCTCACTGAATGTTCACTGACCCTCTTTTCCAGACATAATGTCACATTCTGGCAGAAGGAGGGGGACTTATTTCTCTTTCTGCAGAAAATGACATTATGCATTGTAAAGAGAAACCCTGGTAGTGCTGTGGTTAAGTGTCCAACTACTATCTGAAAGGTGGGTGGTTTGATCCTACCAGTCACTTCAAGAGAGAAAGATGAGACAATCTTCACCAAGACCAACAATCTTGGATTTGATGGGGTAGGCCAGTCTGCCCTGTATGTTTGCCATGAGTTAGAATCAAGGGCAATGGGTTTGGGGTGATATGTTCTAACTATGGTGAAAGTAGGCCAATGAACAAGTTATATCCTGATATATATGGGGAGGCAAGGGAAGTTTAAATGCAATGCAAGAAGACACTCCAAATGCAGCAAGAGGTGATTTTTTTTCAGTATAAAACTGAATAGCCTTTGAGTGAGGACTGGGAAAGAAATCATTTCTACCAGTGTTATAATGAGTTAAAGATTAAGTTCATTCACCCAGACAAATTCAAATAGGA